AAGAAAGCGAAAGCAAGAAAGTCCATGTGGGAGTCCAGCACCTTAACCTCTGCTGGCTGTGTGCCACTATGCCACCTGCTGCTGTCATCATGATTCTTAACATTTGTAAATACTCTTGGATTTCTTCTAACAATAATCATTCCGTTTAGAAATATGTTAGAAAAGTCTTTTTTCCTTTTTTTAAGAATTATTTTTTAGTTAACTTATTTATTAATTTATTTTAATTTTATCAGAGAGAGACAGAGCAAGAGAAAGAGAGAGGGAAAGTGAGAAAGCAAGCTGCCAGGTCTGGGGCTCAAACCGCAGTTGGCCATGTGGGAGTTGCGCACCCTTAACCTCCATGCCACCTGCTGACCCCAGGAGAGTCTTTTTTTTTTTTTTTGGAGAATGGGGTGCGTGCACTCGCCAGACAGAGAGAAACATAGAGACAGAAAGCGAGAAATCACCCCCCAGGGGGGATGGTCATGCCGCAGTCCCTTCTCCTCCATTCTCCTCTCGGCATCTTGGGCATGCACACACAGGCACCTGGCGTGAGTTTTAAGCCACCGGGTCTGGGACGTGAACCGCGGTCGACTACGAGGGAGTCCAGCAACCTAGCCATTACACTAACTGCTGGTTCCCAGGAGAGTCCTTTTTTGATTCCATGTTTTCACTAAGCTCCTTTTTCTTTAACCATCTTTATTTTATCCTATGTATGAATAAAAATGAAATAGGTTGAAAAAAATAAAATTTGTAAATTAATTTGTAAAGTTAATTTGTAAGTTAATTACAAGAGGTAATTAAGTTTATTTTTTAATTTTAATTTTAGAAAATCTTTCCAAAGTATAATTTATCTTTAGTACTAGAAGTTATGGACATACAGTGCACTCTATATCTGGTGTATACATGATAGAGCTGTGTCACCCACTCACCACTTAGGAACATAAAGCCCTTTTGCAAGCAGAGACTACACAATTAGAGGTGTGTCTATCACTTATGTAGCTACTGGTCATACTAATCAGATTTTGATAATGCCCTGTTACCATGACAGCCAGTGACTCAGAGATTTTTCTCATGATTGCTTGACTAGCAATGGTCCTTCTAATAGATCTCTGTTTTCCCACTCAATTATTGAAATTAAAATGAAGCAAGATACATTATTATTCACAAATACTATGAATATATATTCAGTATTTTCTTATGGCAGAATTATAAAATGCTACTACACTGTTTGCTTTTTTTTCAGTGTATGAGGCAGAAATACTGGGAGAAAATACAATTAAGTGTTTTAAAGTGAGAAATAGTAAATGGCAAAATATTTTTGTTGTAAAATTAATAAAAAAGAATAAATTATTAGAAAAAAACAACAAAAAGGTTTTTTTGGTTTATTTGAGGTAGAGATAAAGTGTGAAAGTGTTTCGTGTTTATTCTTCAGACCTGAAACATTTTGTAATGCTTTATGTTGGCAAATTTACATAATACATGAAAAGTATGCACAAACACACACACACACACACACACACACACACACATAGAAAAATGGTGTTGTCTTAGGTGTTGTGATTCATGTTTCTGAAACTTAAATTTTCAGTATTTAGGGGCTATTAGATGGCATGGTAGTTAAGACACTGACCATATTTGAGTCAGACCTGGCGGCTTGAAAAATCACACTGGATGCATGTGCATGTGTACCCAAAACCCCAAGGGGAGAATAGCAAAGGAATTGACTGTATAGCCATCATTCCCAGGGGGTGACTTTTTACTTTCCCTCTCTCTGCTTCTCTTTGGTGACACATGTGCCTTATGACGAAAACCTAAAAATAGAAAATAAAATTAAAATTTTGCAATTTTTTTTTTTTTTTACTTTGCTTATGCAATTTGGTCAATAAAAATAGTTTGTTGTTGGGATCAGCAGGTGGCATGGTGGTTAAGGTACTGGACTCTCACATGGCTAACTGCAGTTTGAGTCTTGGACCTGACAGCTTGAAAGTCATGCCAGATGCCATGCGTGTGTGCCCAAGATTCCAAGAGGAGAATGGATTGTGGTATGGCCATCCCTAAGAGGGAGGGGGTGAGTGCTTTCTCATTTTCCTTCCCACCTTTTCTCTCTACCTCTCTCTGATGTGAGCACAGAAGCCCTGGGGCAAAAACCTAAAGACAAAAAAATGTTTCTCATTGAAAATAGTGCTTTCCCTATCTCATCATTGACTTTATAATTTAAAAGTGAAACAAAATAAATTTGATTTTAATATAATACTTTAATCCATAGTTTAATCTTAGAGTTAGTGAATAGTTAATGAATACAGTCACAGTTTTCTTTAGATCCAAACTATGAGATCAGGTTGATTTTTCTGTCTTGGAAGAGGCCTAGGGTAGAGACATATGTGTAAGCTCACAGAAAGTGCATAGTACGAGTAAGCTGTGCATGGACTTGCCATTTCTTTTTGCACCAAATAAACTTGTACTTTAATTTTATTTTTCCACAAACTTTCTGACATTCCCTCATACTTGCTTACCTCTGATGCTCCTCACATAAGAAAAAAAAACTTACACGTTTTCTCTTTTTTGTAGTTTTACTTTCTCCTATTGAATTTTTTTTTTTGTAACTTCCAGCTAGATGTATTCCTGTTCGTGATGGTGGCCAACATCACAGCCACTATCTCTTCTGCCATGATAACATAACACAAATTTTATTTGGAGGTCAATCCTACTTGGTATGACTATGGTATACCTTAATTTGCACAAACTAGTTTTTGTTGTCCTGTTTTTCTTGTCATAGCAAATATTCCTAATACCTAAACCAGAAATGCAATTGGAATAGCAATATTAATGCCAGGCAAAGGAGAACTGATAGTTAAAAGCTAAACTGAGAGGATGACTATCACTCTAAGATTCAGCTAATATGTTGAAATAGTGAAACAAAAGAGTTTTTAAAAACAACATTATAGTTACAAAACAATAGTCATCAAGATCAAAGCTTTCAAGTATCTCTCAACTTTAAATATGACAAGTAAACAAAATTACACTGAAGTTAGAGGAACTACTAAATAGTTGATGAATTTTTATTATATATTAAATTTTGTACTTCACAAAGAGAGAATATAGGTTTTTAGAGATCAAACATAATTGAGTTTTTTTTGAGAGAGATCTTTGCTATAGGGCATGCCACTCACCAGAGAGACAGAGAGACAGAAAGCGAGAAATTACCTTCCCGGTGGGGGATGGCCATGCTGTAATCCCTTCTCCTCTTGGAATTTCGGGCATGCATGCACACATGCCTGGCATGAGTTTTAAGCTGCCAGACCCAGGACTAGAACCATGGTCAACTACATGGGAGTCCAGTGACATAACTGCTATGCCATCTGCTGGTCCTCCATAATTGATTATTAAGGCATAAAACCTACACCCAAAATAGAGCATATTTAAATCCCTCAAGGAAGCAATTATACAAACTATAATTTTTAACCAAGCTTCAATGATAAAAGTAATAAATTAATACTTAAAATATAGTAAAGCTCAAATAATTAAAAGTACATAAATTAATACTGAGTCAAAGAGGAACCATAATCTGTGGTTACCTTCTTGGTAAACAGTCACAATGACAAAGCATATCAGGTGTATGAGATGTATCTAAAGTTGTTTTCAGAGTAAAATCCATAGCTTTAAACAAGAAAGAAAGAAAACAAGTGAATTATGAATATAATTAAAAATTAAAAGAGCAAAATAACCAGTATTTAATAAAAAGTAGAAATTAAAAATTCAAGTAGAAAGAGTAAATCTTTTTGGTGTTGTGAATGTATTAATACAGAATTTGCTACTTTTTCCCCTAGAGAAAAAAATAAAAAAGAAACTATAATAAAATAAATATACATCTTGGAAAACTTCTGGAGAATTAAAAATAAAGAAACAAATACAAACCTTTATTGGAAGAAAAAAAAACCATATATGCAGAAATTAAAATATGTATTCCTTTCTAATTTTTGAAAGAAGTAATAGGTTTGTATGAAAACAGACATTATCTTCACTGAATCAAGTTGGACCAGAAATAAACCCAGACTAGATTGAAAATAGTGGAAGGTTTTCTGCTCAGACTTCACCCTCCTGACTACAAGAGCTAGCTAAGACAGGCTAATCACAAGCAATCTACATTTGAGCTCTGAACTGCCCCTTTCAGGGACCAGGACAACTGAAGATTTTCTGCCAAGACTTCTCCTTCCTGAACCCAAGACTTAGACAGAGTAAGAGTAATCCTCAGTTTTCATGAATCTGCTATACAAAGGAGAAAAATTGTACTGCAGAGAGATTGCA